GAAAAGAAGAAGGATCTAGGCCCGAAACGTCAGCCTTCCTGCTCCTCTGATGCTGCTTGGCCTGCTGTGTTCATCCAGCTCTGCACCTTGTTATCTTAGAGAAGGGCAGGACTGACAGCTCAATGTTCCAGGATACAGAAGCTATAAGCGTGAGAGGAGTACAAGTAAATGATGAGGGGGAGTTGTCCTTTTGATAAAGGAGGACAGTGCTTAGAGAGGATATTCTTAAGGAGTTATTAAATGAGGCCACATTGCTAGAACTTAGAAACAAGAAGGGGATGGTCACCCCATTGGAATTGTATTATAGACGCCCAAATAGCCAGCAGATGCTAGAGGAGCTGATGTGCAGAGAGATTGCAGATACATGTAGGAATAAATAGCGTAGTATTGGTTAGAGATTTTAACTTCCCCTGTATTTACCGGGCCATCCAGAGTGTGAAAGGCCCAGATGGGGTGGAATTTGTCAAATGCGTCCAAGAAAGTTTCCTAAATCAATATGGAGAGGGCCCTACTCTGGAGGGTGCAACACTGGACCTTATATTAGGAAACGAGGTCAGGCAAGTGGCTGAAGTGTCAGGCAGAGGGTACTTTGGGTCCAGTGACCATAACTCTCTTAGTTTTAACATAGTTATGGAAAGAGATAGGACTAGTCCACAGGTTAAGGTGCTGAACTGGGGCAGGGCTAATTTTGGGGCCATTAGGCAGGATCTAGCAGAGGTCGATTGGGTGAGTCTGTTTGAACGAAAAGGAACGACTAGCAAATGGGAGGCTTATAAAAGTGTGATATCAAGAATCCAGGGACAGCATGTCCCTGTGAGGGTGAAGGGAAAAACTGGCAGGTTTAGGGATCCCTGGCTGACAATGGATATTGAGGCTCTGGTCAGGAAAAAGAAGAAGCACATATTGGGTTTAAACTATCGGGCTCAAGTGAATCCCGAGATGACTATTAAAAAGTGTAGGAGCACACTTAAGAGGGAAATCAGAAGAGCAAAAAGAGAGCATGGGATGGATCTGGAAGGCAAGGTTAGAGGTAATCCCATGAGGTTCTTTAGTGATATTAATAGTAAAAGGGTGGCTAGGGAGAGAATAGATCCTCTTAAATGCCATCTATGTGTGAAGCCACAGGAGATGGGGGAGATTTTTAATGAAACTTGATACTCAGTGTTTACTGAGGAGAGAATCATGGATGCTAAAGAAATAAGGGAAACAAGTGGGGATGTTTTGGACCACATACATATTACCAGAGGGGAGGTGTTTGCAGCCTCAAAGCGCATTAAGGTAGATAAATCCCCTGGGCCTGATTAAGTCCATCCTCAGACGTTGTGGGAGGCTAGGGAAGAAATTGCACAGGCCCTTGCAGAGATTTTTGTTTCATCTTTAGCCACTGGTGAAGTTCTAGAAGACTGGAGGTTGGCTAATGTTGTTCCATCGTTTAAGACAATGTGGCAAAGACAATTGTAGCAAAGACAAGCCAGGGAACAATAGGCCAGTGAGCCTGACATCAGTGGTAGGCAAGTCATTGGAGAGGATACTGAGAGACAGGATGACCAACATTTGGATAGTCAAGGTCTGATTAGGGATACTCAGCATGGATTTGTGCGTGGGAAGTCATGTCTGACAAATGTTTTAGAGTTTTTCAAAGAGGTAACTAAGAGGATAGATGAGGATAGGGCAGTGGATGTTGTCTATTCGGACTTTAGTAAGGCCTTTGACAAGGTCCCACATGGCAGGCTAGTCATGAAGATTAGGCCGCTTGGGATCCAGGGAGAGCTAGCTAATTGGATTCAAAATTGGCTCGATGGTAGGAAGCAGAGGGTGAGGGTTGAAGGATGTTTCTCAGACTGGAGGCCTGTGAATAGTGGTGCACCACAGGGGTCGGTGCTGGGACCTTTCTTATTTGTTACTTACATAAATGATCTGGATGTAAATATACAAGGCATGATTCGTAAGTTTGCGGATGATACAAAATTAGGAGGTATTGTTGATAGCGAGGAAAGTTATCAAAAATTACAGAGAGATCTTGATCAGATGGGGAAGTGGGCTGAGGATTGGCAAATGCAAGTAAATACAGATAAATGTAAGGTGTTGCATTTTGGAAAGTCAAACCAAGGTAGGGCTTATACAGTAAATGGTAGGGTCCTGAGTGGTGTTACGGAACAGAGACACTGAGGTGTACAAGCACATAGTTCATTGAAAGTGGCATCACAGGTAGACAGGGTGGTGAAGAAGGCATTTAACATGCTGGCCTTCATCAGTCGTGGCATTGAGTACAGGAGTTGGGACGTTATGTTACAGTTGTATAAGCCATTGGTGAGGCCACAGTTGGAGTATTGTGCACAGTTTTAGTCACCCTGTTAGAAGAAAGACATAGTTAAACTGGAATGTGTGCTAAGAAGATTTACGAGGATGTTTCCAGGACTGGCAAGCCTAAGTTAACGGGAGAGGATGGCCAGGATAGGGCTTTATTCCTTATAAGATAGGAGAATGAGGGGTGACCTAATTGAGGTATATAAAATCATGAGGGGCATAGATAGGATGAATGCATATAGTCTTTTTCCCAAGGATGGGGAATTGAAAACTAGAGGGCATAGGTTTAAGGTGAGAGGGGAGAGATTTAAGAAGGACCTGAGGGGCAAAATCTTCATGCAGAAAGTGGTGCATATATGGAGTGGGCTGCCAGAGAAAGTGCTTGAGGCAGGTACAATAGCAACATTTAAAAAACATTTGGATTGGTACATGAATGGGAAGGGTTTAGAGGGATACGGATCAAATGTGAGCAAATGGAACTGGCTGAGTGGGCACCATGGTCAGCATGGACCAGTTTGGGCCGAAGGGCCTGTCTCCATATTATATTACTCTATGACTCTATGACTGTAGAAGAAGGCGGGAGAAATTGGAAAGCTCATTCTCAGATAATCTAGGCCACATCCACACATTTCACTTGCCTTGAATTGCAGGTAAATCCAGTCCAGAAATGTTGTGACCTTTGCATACACTCCTGGCTTTCCTAGTCTGGCACATCCGTATCCCCAGCTTGTGACGCCAACTAACCAGAAGAGTGACTTCTGCTTTGTAGTTAGTGGGCCACCACTGTCACCCTGTGTCACAAAAAAGAAAATGTTTCCTTGATGCAGAACAGTTGAATGTAGACATTTACAATTTAGTAACTACCAACTGGACAAACAACGGCCTCTTTGATCAGCTGGTTAAAGTGGGCAACATCAATTCAATTCCTTATGAGCATGGAACCGACGTGCTAAATCTTTCTTTTTTTGTTGGACTGTATAAGATGGTTGCCTTGGAAATGCAATGTTGCCATGAGCAGCGTTGGACAGAGTAGATAGGGTGAAGCTTCTTGTAAGTGAAACAAGAACGAGAGGGCGTAGACTTAAAATGATGTGCTAATGAGGCAATGGTGCGTGAGACAAAAAAAACTTTTTCACATAGGAAGTAGTTAGGGTATGGAATGCAATCACTGGAAATGTGATGGAGGCAGGTTCAGTTGTGGCATTGAAGTGGACATTGGACATTTATTTGGACAGAAATGGTGTGCAGGTTTAACAGGAAACGGCAATTATAACAGAGCTGGACAAGATAGTAGAGCTGATGGAGACAGGATGGGCCAAATGGCCTCCTTCTGCACCCATAATAATTTTGTGATAAAGGACAATTTTGTAAGGTGTATTCCATATTTTGTATTTATGTTTGTATTGCATTTTCTGAGGCACTATTTCACAATGGAGTATGAATGAATATTACTCTAAGAGTTCTGAGGATGATAGTCAAAGGGATTTATTATTTTTAAAGTTGGATCAAGAATGTGGTGGATAGGCCACAAAAATTTCACAGGGTGCAGGCATGCAAAATGGCATAAGGACTTCATAGATCAGCAGGGAAAAAAAGGATTTCCATTCAATATGACCAGAGAAACATGAAGTCAATGACCAATATCAGAAGGCTAAGTGTTTAAGCCTCACTCTAGTGCTGGCAGTGCATAATTCAACCTGGCACTTCCATTCTGACGGAGTGCTACGTTGTTGATGATGCCGTCTTTCAGATGAGACAGTTAAAACAAGGTCATGTTTTCCTTCTCAAGTGGACTTAAATGAATCTACAAGATTATTCAAAGATGAACAGGGGCAGTTCTCCTAGACAACATTTATCCCTCAACTTCCATGCTGGACAAAACTCTATTTGAGAGATCATACTGCATACAAATTGGTGGCTGACTATTCTACATTACACATGTACCTGCACTTCTCACGTACTTAGCTGCACATGCAGCATTTGGTGACACCTAAGGTTGTACAAAATGTCCTATAAAGACAACTTCCTTCTTTCTTTCCATTGTAATTCATGCTATGTCTTTGTGAAACATCATGCAGTCCCTCTGCTACACCTATTTATGGATCTGGTACTTTCTCCTCTCAGGCCTTGGTCTTTCCTTCTGTAAAGGAGCAGTCATGCTCACATTTTTATTAATGAAGCATGTTCTTCAAAGAATCCAGAAAGGAGCATTCACTTTAAAGAAGGGGAAGCAACCCTATTTTAGCTGCATCCACTTGGAAATTGCACATTTCTCCTCCACCCACCAAGCCACTCATACTTCCAGCTTAGAGAGGAACTGGGGCCTCAGTTAGTTGAGGGGGAAGGTGTTTTGGTCGCAAAAACAGGAAGGCGGATTATTATCTGAATGGTGGCAGTTTAGGAAAAGGTGAGATTCAACGAGACCTGAGTGTAATGATGGAACATTCGCTGAAGATTGGCATTCAGGTGCAGCAGGTGTTGACGAAAGTTAATGGCATGCTGGCCTTCATGGCAAGACGATGTGAATATCAGAGTAAGGGTGTCTCACTGCAGTTATACAGGGCCTTGGTGAGGCCACACCTTGAGTATTCTGTGCAGTTTTGGTCTCCTAGTCTAAGGAAGAACATTATTGCTATTGAGGGAATCCAGCGAAGGTTCACCAGGCTGATTCCCAGGATGGCAGGACTGACATATGGGGAAAGACTGGATCGACTGGGCTTGTACGCACTGGAATGTAGAAGAATGAGGGGAGATCGCACAGAAACATGAAATCTGGTTGGGACTGAACAGGCTGGATGCAGGAAGAACGTTCCTGATGTTGGGCAAGTCCAGAACTAGGGCTCACAGTCTCAGAACAAGGGGTAGGACATTCAGGATGGAGATGAGGAAGAATTTCTTCACTCGGAGAGCCGTGAACCTGTGGAATCCTCTCCCACAGGAAGCTGTTGGTGCCGGTTCATTAGATATATTCAAGAGGGAGCTGGACATGGCCCTTGCAGCTAAAGGGATCAAGTGGTATGGGGAGAGGGCAGGAATGAGATACTGAAATTGCATGATCAGCCAAGATCATATTGAATGGTGGTGCAGGCTGGAAGGGCTGAGCGGCCTATCCATGCACCTATTTTCTATGTTTTAATGAAGTCACTGTCTTCACACTTGCCACCCGCAACCAGCACACGCAGTACACAAGCTGCAAACATCCAAAGTTCATCTTTTCCAAATTTCTTGCCATTTCAATCAGCAAAGTGAGCAAGCCAGCTGATTGCATCCCATCACCAAAGCTAATGGGGAACACCCTTTCTGCTTTTGTTTGATGGTACAGTTGACGTTAGTGCAGAGCAGAGATTTAACCAGGAAGGGGCAAGGAGGAAGCGTTCATTCTAGACACAACGAATGTTAACCATACCTGACAAGCATCATGTCCACCCTCTACCAAACCAGCACACAGCATGCGAGGTGTGATGATATCAAAGTACGATTTTTTGCAATCATAGGAAGTAATTAGGGGCACTGTGGTCCACTGTAGAGAGTCTGGTGGAGACCCTGATGAAATGAACAGAAAATGTAGTAACTGACTAAGCGACATTAATCCTGCTCAATCCAATATTAACCCTACATACAACCTGCAGCTGGAACAGAGAACAGCCATGGTTCATTACCCTGAGCTGGTGCAGTGGCCAATGAAGGACCACAGTTACTGCACTAAGATAACAAGGTGTAGAGCTGGATGAAC